ACAAAAATTAGCTGGGCACAGTGGCTGGAACCTGTAATCCCAGCTAGTCGGGAGGCTGAGGCAGGAGAATCGCATGAACCCTGGAGGTGGAGGTTGCAGTGAGCCGAGATCATGCCACTGCACTCTAGGTACGCTCTCTATCTCTTTCTTGGCCTGCTTGCTCTGAGAAGGCAGCAGGATGCACACACATGTTTTTACTTATCTGCTGGCTCACCTCACTAGCATGAGGCAGTTCCATCGACAGGTGCACATGGAAAGGAACTGAGAGAGGCCTCCAGCCAATAATCAACCAGGAATTGAGGCCCTCAATTAATCCAACAGCCCATAAGGAATAGAGGCCAATGTAAGAAAGCTTGGAAGTAGCCAAGCATGGGGGCTCATGCCTGTAATCCCAGCACTTTGAGAGCCTGAGGTGGGAGGATCACTTGAGGCCAGGAGTTTGAGACCACCTTGGCCAACATAGTGAAACCCTGTCTCTACTAAAAATACAAAAATTAGCTGGGTGCAGTAGTGCTTGTCTGTAGTCCCAGGTACCGGGGAAGCTAAAGCATGAGAATCACTTGAACCTGGGAGATGGAGGCTGCAGTGAGCTGAGACTGTGTCACTGCACTCCAGTCTGGGCAACAGAGCGAGACTGTCTAAAAAAAAGAAAAAAGGCTTCCAAGTGGATTCTTCCCCAGCTTAGTCTTCTTATGAGACCACAGCCCAGCCCAGACTGGCAGCTTGACTACGGAAACCTTGAGCCAGAAGTACCCAGCTAAACTGTGCCTGGCTTCCTGACCCTTCAAAACTCTGAAATGATATAATAAAAGTTCACTGTTTTAAACCACTAAGTTTTGGGGGTAATTTGTTTGCAGCAAAAGATAACAAATTTGCTGTTATATTACAATAGCCAATCTTCCAAGATTTTTCTTTCAAGGTTATTTTCAGTTGGCATGAAAGAATTTCTAAACCTCTAAGAATGTTTAAGCTCTCTTTTCCGAAATTATACTTCAAAGGACAGTTGTGTTAATGCAGAGCCAAAAAAAGTTGATCACATTTATAAATATCCATAGAAGTTGGTAATCATATGAATGTTCTTTTTTTTAAGACAAAGTTTTGCTTTTGTTGCCCAGGCTGGAGCACAGTGGTTGCTGGAGCAATCTTGGCTCACTGCAACCTCCACCTCCTAGGTTCAAGTGATTCTCCTGCCTCAGCCTCCTCAGTAGCTGGGAAGACAGGAGCCTGCCACCACTCCCAGCTAAATTTGTATTTTTTTCTTTATTTTTTTAATCTTGGAAATGTGGGTTTTCATTTTTCCAAAAATTGTACCAAGGTAAAGCAAAGCTCTAGTTGATGTGGGTCTGTTGTTTAGCGTTAGCAATATTGCCCTCATTATGTGCTCATTGGACGGCAGCACAACCCCAAGAAAAAGATGGTAATAATTTTGTATTTTTAGTAGAGGCAGGGTTTCTCCATGTTGGTCAGGCTGGTCTCAAACTCCCAATTTCAGGTAATCCGCCTGCCTCAGCCTCCCAATATGCTGGGATTATAGGCGTAAGCCACTGCACCTGGCCCACATGAACGTTCTCAATTTAACACCTTATACAGTTAGAGTCTTTGAAATAATTTGATGACACAGAAAGATCTGTCTCCATCAGTAACTGCAGGGGAGAGGACAAATCTCATTCTTCTCTTTCTGAGACTTCTTTTGTTAATTTTGAAGACTTGGCATTTTAAGGTTCAGGCTCTGGATTTCATTAGTCAGCATTATACGTAAAATGTAGATTAGTGGAGCTAAATTTTACTGGCAGAAGTGGAGGAAAAAATATGGCCGGGCACAGTGGCTTACACCTGTAATCTCAGCACTTTGGGAGGCCGAGGCAGGCAAATCACCTGAGGTCAGGAGTTCAATACCAACCTGGCCAATATGGTGAAAATACTAAAAATACAAAAATAACCTGGGCTTGGTGGCGTGTGCCTGTAGTCCCAGCTACTTGGGAGGCTGAGGCAGAAGAATTGCTTGAACCCAGGAGGCAGAGGTTGCAGTGAGCCAAGATGGCAACACTGCACTCCAGCCTGGGTGACAGAGCAAGACTCCATCTCAAAAAAAAAAAAAAAGAAAAAGAAAATGATTAAATGATTCTCAGGAGTTGCTTGAATGATGAGAAGCTGGCAATAAAAAATTCTGCAAAGTGGGAGGAGTAGGGAATTCCAGATTTATAGCAAATATAACAAAGGGTCAGGTGCTTAGACTCAGGTAGGATAACTTGCTCCTTTACTTTTTAGTAACTTAACCTGACTTAGTACTTAACTGGTTTAACCTCAATTTCCTCATTCGTAAAATGGGAATAATGGTAATAGGGCTGTTTCGAAAATTAAATCCTAGGCTGGGTGTTTTGGCTCACTCCTGTAATCCCAGCACTTTGGGAGGCCGAGGCCGGCAGATGACAAGGTCAGGAGCTCAACACCAGCCTGGCAAACATACTGAAACCCCATCTCTACTAAAAATACAAAAATTAGCTGGGTGTGGTGGTGCATGCCTGTAATCCCAGCTACTCAGGAGGCTGAGGCAGAAGAATCGCTTGAACCCTGGGGGGGTGGAGGATGTGGTGAGATCGTGCCACTGCACTCCAGCCTGGGAGACAAAGGGAGACTTTGTCTCAAAAAAAAGAAAAAAAAAAAAAAAAGAAAAGAAAATTAAATCATGTAGACGAAACATAATATAAAGCATTATCTAACTCAAACTAAGCATTGTATAAATGATAGTAATCTTTGGTGTTAGAGAAAATTTAGAAGTAGAGGAAAAACAAGATGAGAATGTACCTGTAAATCCTCCACTCACTTCTTGAATTTTTGGGAATGGGAACTCATTTTGGTGAGAAAAATTACACTTGTTACAAAGAGTTCACAGACCCTAGAATCAAGAGAGCTAAAACTAATTTACATATATATATGTACATATATATATTTTTAAATTTTTGAGACAAGATGTCAGTCTGTCATCCAGGCTGGAGTGCAGCGGTGTGATCAAGGCTTGCTGCAGCCTACTGAGTCGCTGGGACTACTCTCAAGCATCACCACGCCTGGATAATTTTATTTTTTGAAGAAACATGCTTTCACCACGTTGTGCAGGCTGGTCTCGAACTCCTGGGCTCAAGCAATCTATCTGCCTCTGCCTCCCAAAGATATGAGATTACAGGCATGAGCCACTGTGCCCAGCCCCAAAACTAATTTAGTATTGCAGGGTTTCTTTTCTATTTTGAAAGATTGTTTCAACAAGTTCTAGATTACTCTTATTTTATACTACTACTTTTTGTCTACCTGTCCATGACAGGTAAAGGAGATTAGCTCCTGTCTGAAAATGTTTGCAAAGTAGTGTATTTCTCTTACTCTTTCCAGAAGCTTTCCCAAAGAAGCAAAAATATTCAGGCATAAAGCTACCAAGAGCTCCAACCTGTTTGATTACTATTCCCTTGGTCACCAATCCAGTCATCTTTCAGCTACTCCACGCATGACGCCTGCTGAGCTATTAGCTCCCACACAAATACAAGCAATTCTTTTTTTTTTTTTTTTTTAGCGGAGTTTCGCTCTTTTCGCCCAGGCTGGCATGCGATGGCATGATCTCGGTTCACCGCAACCTCCCGGGTTCAAGTGATTCTCCTGCCTCAGCCTCCCGAGTAGCTGGGATTACAGCCGTGTGCCACCACGCCCAGCTATTTTTGTATTTTTAGTAGAGTCAGGTTGGTCTCGAACTCCCAACCTCAAGTGATCCGCCTGCCTTAGCCTCCCAAAGTGCTGGGATTACAGGCGTGAGCCACCGCGCCCCGGTGAATACAAGCAATTCTTTTTCTTTTTTTTTTTTTTTGAGACGGAGTTTCGCTCTTGTTACCCAGGCTGGAGTGCAATGGCGCGATCTCGGCTCACCGCAACCTCCGCCTCCTGGGTTCAGGCAATTCTCCTGCCTCAGCCTCCTGAGTAGCTGGGATTACAGGCACACGCCACCATGCCCAGCTAATTTTTTGTATTTTTAGTAGAGACGGGGTTTCACCATGTTGACCAGGATCTTAATCCTGCCTAATTCAGATGATCTTTCTTAGAGTTTGAAGTCCCTGGGGACCCGAAGTTGCCCTAGGTATACACTTTGCTCAACCCAGTTCGGCACAAAAAGAGACGACTAATAATTAACAAAATTGAGAAATCAACCCACACTGGGTAATCTGAGGAATATGGTATTCTTTGTGAAATAAAAGAAGCGCAAAGGGGCCCTAGATCAGCGTCCAGAGAGAGGGGTTTCATCCCAGCACTGCCCCTAACCAGCTGAAAGGTAGGCGGTACAATCACATCAGCTCTCCGAGACTCAGTTTCTCCATCTATAAAACACGGAATAGGCTTGACGGTCCCTCTCTCAGTATAATTTCCCAGCGGAAGTTCTGGGAGAGGTCCACAAAACTAGTAAAACTCCCTCAAAGACGGCTAAATGTGAACCTACTGGTCAAGGTTGCAAGATTTGCTTTTTGGGTCAAGGCAGTGGGGGCAGCGACAGGGAACCAATCGCGGTTAATTTATTAATGCACTTTGCCCCGACTTGTAACTCTTCCTGGCGAGTCCGCATTTCCCCTGCTTCTCCCGGAAATGTGGAGTGCCCAGGAATATTCCCTAAACTTCCAAACCCCGCCCCTAGGAGGCGGGGGGGCGGGGCGCGGAGCCGGGCCTAGTCGCGCGCCTGCGTACTGCGGACGGAGGGCCGAGGCCTGGCGGCGAGCTGGGGTCGTACTATACAGCCCATCTTTCCGGCAAATCGCGCGAGATTTCGCTCCCCCTGGGCTCCACGAAGGTCAGCGACGCGCGAGCGACTGCTGGGACTGTGGCTCTCGGAGCTGTTTCGTGCCCCCGCGGTGAGGGAGGAGACTGTCAACCAGGGTGACTTCCAGGCGTCTTCCCGGAGCTACTGGGGACGCTGGTGTTATTGCCCGGGACCCTGAGATAGGGAATGCTCGAGAAGCAGAAGCAGGTTTTGGGGTGCTTTTGAATTCTTGGGGGAAAGCAACCTGAGGTTTTGAGGTGTTTGAGGTGTCTCTGGAACTTTCATTTAACACAGATTTGTTGAGCACCTACCGTGTGCCGGGCTTAGGGGATTGGATTTATCATTGAAAAAAGCAGACGAGTCCTTATCCTCTTAGCGCTGACGATCTGGGCAGTTAGTTTGAAATTCTGGGCTAGAAACGCGAATTAATACTGATTGCCATACAAAGTGGTTGCTAGCTGGAGCTATAGGGTAAGGTGAGGTCACTGAGAAAGGGAAGAGCCGGGTAGGAATCCCCACATACAAGACTTGGGGAGAGGAGGGTGGAGGCCAAGACCCGAACGAGAGGAGAGGACTGGCAGAGAGATCCAGAAAGACACGTGTTTGTTTGTTTTTTATTGCTTTTTGAGATAGAATCACTCTGTCACCCAGCCAGGCTGGAGTGCCCTGGCTCCATTTCGGCCGACTGCAACCTCAACCTCCTGGGCTCAGGTGGTTCTCCAGCCTCAGTCTCCCGTGTAGCTGGGACTACAGGCACCCGCCACTATGCCTAGCTAATTTTTCTATTTTTAGTAGAGACAGGTTTCGTCATGTTGGCCAGGCTGGGCTCAAATTCCTGACCTCAAGTGATTCTCCCACCTCAGCCTCCCAAAGTGCTGGAATTACAGGTGTGAGCCACCGCGCTGGGCCCAGAAAGACACATTTTATAGCAAGGCGTGGTCAACAGTTAGTTGCTAGTGGCAGAAATACAGCAGGAAATAAGGGTATTAAAAGCTGGTGGGAAGCTCATGTGATGAAAAGAGTAGGTGCCGTGTTGGAGTGTGGGGTCTAGCGTTATTACAAGTTGTTCGACCCTGGGCAAATTATTCAATCTTTCTGTACCTCTCTTTCTCTCTCTCTCTTTTTTTTTTTTTTGAGACAGAGTCTCACTCTGTTGCCAGGCGCCAGGCTGGAGTGCAGTGGTGCGATCTCGGCTCACTGCAACCTCCGCCTCCCGGGTTCAAGCAATTCTACCTCAGCCTCCCGAGTAGCTGGGACTACAGGCGCACACCACCACGCCCAGCTAATTTTTTTTGTATTTTAGTGGAGACGGGGTTTCACTATGTTGGCCAGGATGGTATCAATCTCTTGACCTCATGATCCACCCACCTTGGCCTCCGAAAGTGCTGGGATTACAGGTGTAAGCCACCGCGCCCAGCTTTTTGTTTGTTTGAAACGGAGTTTTGCTCTTGTTGCCCGGGCTGGAGTACAATGGCGCAATCTTGGCTCACTGCACCCTGCGCCTCCCAGGTTCAAGCGATTCTCCAGCCTCAGCCTCCTGAGTAGCTGGGATTACAGGGGCCTGCCCCCACGCCCGGCTAATTTTTGTATTTTTAGTAGAGATGAGGTTTCACCATGTTGGCCAAGCTGGTCTCAAACTCCTGACCTCAGGTGATCGGCCCACGTCAGCCTCCCAAAGTGCTGGGATTATAGCCCTGAGGCACAATGCCCGGCCCCTTTTCTCATCTATAAAATTGAGAGGATATTACCAACTTCACAGTTTTTTTTTGGGGGGGGGGCCTGGGTCGGGGGAAGTGGTTTAAACAGGATAATAAATGAGATTTGCCCAGTTCCTGGCATTTAGGAACATGAAGGAAACAGGTTGAGAGAAGGGACTTTTTCCAAGGTCCCATCTGGTTAGAACCAGCACAAGTTCTTCCTAAATGCCTTTTCCCTTTTACCAGGCTGCAGGGTACACACTCAACACGCTCTTTATCATCACATCAGAGCAAATTCATCTGTTATTATTTTGGAATATTAGCAGCAGGTAGGAATGCACTTAATATCATCCCAGGTGAATAGGATTTGCTGAGTTTTTTTTCCCCACTTGGGATGAATTTAACAATCCACCCATCTTTCAGATCTTGAACTTGGTGTGTCTTATTTTAGTTGTTAATTTTATGACTAAAGTTTTCCAGATTTTATTTATCTTCATTTTTGGGGGGATGAAGTTTTGCTATTGTCCCCCAGGCTGGAGTGCAATGGCTCATTTACTGCAAACTCCGCCTCCCAGGTTCAAGCAATTCTGCCTCAGCCTCCCAAGCAGCTGGGATTACGGGTGCGCACCACCATACCTGGCTAATTTTTGTATTTTTAGTAGAGATAGGGTTTCACCATGTTGGCTAGGCTGGTCTCAAACTCCTGACCCCAAGTGATCCATCCACCTCAGCCTCCCAAAGTGCTAGGATTACAGGTGTGAGCCACCATGCCCAGCCAAGTTATCTGTATATTAAATGTGTGGGATTTTGGTACTATTGAGGGATATCACACAATTATCCTATATTAACTGTAGTATTTGACACTTGAAAAGTTTCTAATTTAATACAGAATGAAAGAACTATAATAGTATATTTTTCATGCTGATAAGCAGTGTTTGGACCAAACTATAATATACATATTAATATTTTAAAGAAATAAAGCATACCATTGACAGAGAAGAGGGCAAATATGACATTTCATTTGGAAAGATTACTTTGAAAATGTAGTCATTATGGTTCTATTACTACCTAAGGACTTTATTTATTTTGAGACTGAGTTTCGGCTGGGCGCGGTGGCTCACGCCTGTAATCCAAGCACTTTGGAGGCCAAGGCGGGCGGATCACCTGAGGTCGGGAGTTCAAGACCAGCCTGACCAACATGGTGAAACCCTGTCTTAAAAAAAAAAAAACTGCGTTTCGCTCTTATTGCCCAGGCTAGAATGCAATGGCACGATCTCAGCTCACCGCAACCTCCGCCTCCCGGTTCAAACGATTTTCCTGGCTCAGGCTCCCAAGTAGCTGGGATTACAGGCATATGCCACCATGTCCAGCTAATTTTGTATTTTCAATAGGGACCGGGTTTCTCCATGTTGGTCAGGCTGGTCTCAAACTCCTGACCTCAGGTGATCTGCCGCCTCAGCCTCCCAAAATCCTGGGATTATAGGCAGTAGCCACCATGCCTAGCTACTTAAGGACTCTTAGACCCACTTAACTTGGAAAACTTCGGCTTTTTAACCCTTATGTAATTGACACATGGTGATTCTGTAGAAAATTTCCTTTTTAAAACATGTAACCCTACATGACGTTATGGACCTCTTAGTGTGATGAATGCATGTGGCACTGCCCTTAAAGATTCTTGCCTGAAAAATTGAACCTGAAGTAATGAAGCCTCTAGATGTAACTAGCAGTCATGAATAAGGGGAGGAGATAGAAGGGACTTTTCCTTCTTTCTTTAAAAACTTGTCATTTACCTTGTGATGGTAAGTGACACCATGAGAAAGCAATCGGAGAACATTCTACAAATTAATTAAGAAACAAGAGCATGAACAGGGAAGGAGACTCAGTGTAGTATGCGGACCTTGAATTCTGATTTTAATGAACCAACTGTAAAAAGACATCTTTGAGACAATTAGGAAATTTGAATATGCACTATGCATTAGATGATGATAAGGAATTACCTGTATTATTCTGTTAGGTGTTATAATAACGGCGTAGTGTTTATGTTTAAATCTGTGATGGCAGTGATTTGCTTCAAGGGGAGGTTGGAAAATGTAGTCTTTTAGCTGGGCAACATAATGTCCAGAAGGAGAGGATGGTCTTTGAGGGCAACTAGCTGTCCTCAAACAACCAGTGAGATTATACAGTCATTTGTCACATAATGATGGTTCAGACAATGACAGACGATGAGCCTCCCATAACATTATAATGGAATTAAAAAATTACTCTTGCCTGGTGATGTGATAGTCATCAGAACATTATAGTGCAATTACTTTTTATTTATTTATTTATTTATTTTCTGAGACAGGGTCTCACTCTGTTACCCAGACTAGAGTGCAGTGGCGCAATCTCAGCTCACCACACCTCCACCTCCTGAGTTCAAGCGATTCTCCTGCCTCAGCCTCCCAAATAGCTTGGATTACAGGCGCATGCCACCACGGCCAGCAGTTTTTTATAATTTTAGTAGAGACGGGATTTCACCATGTTGGCCAGGCTGGTCTTAAACTCCTGACCTCAAATGATCCACCTGCCTTGGCCTCCCAAAGTGCTGGAATTACAGGCATGAGCCACTGCACCTGCCCTATTACTTTACTTTTTGAGAAATTTAGTGTGGTCTAAGTGTATAGTGTTAATAAAGTTTAAATAACCTACAGTAATGTCCTAGGCTTTCACATTCCCTCACCACTCACTCACTGACTCACCCAGAGCAACTTCCATTTTGCTAGGCTCCATTCATTGTAAGGTGCCCTATACAGCAACATGCCATATAGGTTTGTACCCTGGAAGTTATAGGCTAAACCATGTAGCCTAGGTGTCTGGTAATCTGTACCATCTACATTTGTGTAAGTGCACTCTGATATTCACACAACGATGAAATCACCCAACGTCATATTTCTCAGCATGTATCCCAGTAGTAAAGCTGTACAAAGCACTCACAACAGTGCTTGGCACATAGTAACACTAAGGGCTTGATTTTCTAATTTTCACTGGTGGAAAAAGTAAGCAAAGTGATTTTCTTTCTTTTCCTTTCTTTCTTTCTTTTTTTTTTTTTTTTTTTTGTTTTTTTTTTTTTTTTTTTTGAGATGTAGTCTCACTCTGTTGCAATGGTGCGATCTTGGCTAACTGCAACCTCCGCCTCCCAGGTTGAAGCCATTCTCCTGCCTCAGCCTCCTGAGTAGGTGGGACTACAGGCTCCTGCCACCATGCTCAGCTAATTTTTGTATTTTTAGTAAACGGGGTTTCACGATGTTGGCCAGGATAGTCTTGATCTCTTGACCTCGTGATCCACCCACCTTGGCCTCCCGAAGTGCTGGGATTACAGGTGTGAGCCACTGTGCCAGGCTAGCAAAGTGATTTTCAGCAAGTCAGTTAGTGCTAGTACTGGAACTTCATTTTGTTTCTTTCATTAGCTCAAATTGTAAATCCAGAATAAACTGGCCAGATGCAGTGGCTCACACCTGTAATCCCAGCACTTTGGGAGGCCAAGGTGGGAGGATCACTTGAGACCAGCCTGGGCAACATAGCGAGACTGCATCTCAAAAAACAAAACCAAACAGAATAAACTGATCCTTTACTTATTGGCCATATTGTGATATGGAATTTCCTATAAGGTAAGGATTTTAAAATTCCTTTGATGTATTACTTTTATCATCAGCTAAACTATTAAGAAATTTTTGTTTTTTTAAAATTCACCACTGATAAGAAGGCAAAGGAATTTTCATTTTGGTAAATGAATAGAAGAGCCTTTGAAAATTTGGTTACGTGGCTAGGTGTGTTGGCTCATGCCTGTAATCTCAGCACTTTGGGAGGCCGAGGCGGATGTATCACTTACGGTCAGGAGTTCAAGACCAGCCTGGCCAACATGGTGAAACTCCGTCTCTACTAAAAATACCAAAAAATTAGCAGGGTGTCGTGGTGCATGCCTGTAATCTCAGCTACATGGGAGGCCGAGTCAGGAGAATCACTTGAACCCAGGAAGCAGAGGTTGCGGTGAGCCGAGATCGCACCACTGCACTCCAGCCTGGGTGACAGAGTGAGACTCTGTCTGAAAAAAAAAAAATGTGATTACATGTCAATTAAGCAGTTAGTGTTTTTATTTTGCCACTAGATACTAACTGCTAGCTCTGGGGGAATGTGTCATATTGTTTTATGTTTTTTTCTTTATTTAAAAACAAGTCAAGTGCAGTATTGAGAAGGGGGAAAGCGCAGAACAAGGGATTTGGCCTGTAACTGTGAACAATCAGTTGAGATAATTCACTACCTTTGGACCAGCCTTGTGTTGTTTTCTTTTAATTGAGCCATAGGAGGCTTCATCATGATGATGGGCTTAAAGATGCCCGAGCTTGAATTATCTGAGACCAAAAACATTTTGCCTCACTTAATCTTCAATGAATTTGTTCCTATTAAGAATTCTAACTAGGTGTAGTCTTTTTTCATATATTTGCTTTAGGAAGCAAACTGTGACAGGAGAGTTTGTCTTTTTTGGATCCTAAATGTGATTTTTCTCCCTCTTCATTGAGAAAAGCAAATGGACTTCTTTTTTATTTTTAAATTGTTGAATACTTCAAATCTTATTTGCGATTAAAAAGTTTTTCTATTTGTAGGAGTATTTTATACAGAAATCTTGTGAGACCACTGCCCAATCAGAGCGATGATTGTTCAAAGAGTGGTATTGAATTCTCGACCTGGTATGTATTTGTGAAGAATGAACAGCTGTGGCCTTTGATAATTATTAATGCAAATGGAGGAATGAATAAAAACTAATGTGATATTAATGTGGTAAATTAAAGTAGTTAGATACTAACACTAGTAAAGATATTAAAGGACACTTTTTAAACCATGTAATTGTTTTCAAGTGATAGCTTATTAAGGCCATTTTTTTTTTTTTTTTTTGAGATGGAGTTTCGTTCTTGTTACCCAGGCTGGAGTGCAATGGCGCGATCTCGGCTCACCACAACCTCCGCCTCCCGGGTTCAGGCAATTCTCCTGCCCCAGCCTCCTGAGTCGCTGGGATTACAGGCACACGCCACCATGCCCAGCTAATTTTTTGTATTTTTAGTAGAGACAGGGTTTCACCATGTTGACCAGGATGGTCTCGATCTCTTGACCTCGTGATCCACCCGCCTCGGCCTCCCACAGTGCTGGGATTACAGGCTTGAGCCACCGCGCCCGGCAAGGCCATTTTTAAACAGTGTAATAGTCTTTCAGGTGATAACTTATCCAGGCATTTGTTGGTGAAATAAGATATTTTGGAATCGTAACATTTGAAAGGTTACATTACAAATATATGTGGCTTTTGTTTCTTCTTTGGAGTATGTATTATTGGTCCTTAAAATTTGCTTTTCTTTTTTATGTGGAATGTAGTAACTTATGGTAGTGCTGACATGTAAACTGCATTGTAAAAACAGGTGTGGAAGTAACCTGAAAGATTTGGGTCACTGTTTGCTGCCCACTTACAGAAGTCACTCAACTTTTCTGATTTCAATTTTAGTAAAATGAGCAGTTAGATTAAGATCTTTATGTACTATTCCCACCGTATAAATTTAATAATTCTATGAATAGTAAATTTGCGTTAAACATATCTGAAGATGAGTACCTTCTAGTGGTAACCTTTTGTTCTTACAAACTTTTCTCATACCTCAAATTTCCTTTTTTTTTTTTCCGAGATGGCATTTCCCCCTTGTTGCCCAGGCTGGAGTGCAATAGCGCGATCTCAGCTCACCACAACCTCCGCCTCCCGGGTTCAAGCAATTCTCCTGCCTCAGCCTACCGAGTAGCTGGGACTAAGGCGCGTGCCACCACACCTAGCTAATTTTTGTAGTTTTCATAGAGATGGGGTTTCACCATGTTGATTGACCAGGATGGTCTTGATCTCTTGACCTTGTGATCTGCCCACCTTGGCCTCCCAAAGTGCCTTACCTCAAATTTTCTAATTTCCTACTTCCTGTTTTTTCAGACTTTATTATTACTACTTTTATATTCATTTAAGTTTCTATAATGATGACCTTTTCTTATAAATTTTTCTCGTGCCTCAAATTTTCTAATTTTCTAATTTTTCAGATTTATTTATTATTACTTTTGTATTCATTTAAGTTTCTATTTGCTTCTTAAAATGAGGAAGGAAAGTTTAGATGTACTCCATCCTGGGTGACAGAGTAAAACCCTGTCTCTTAAAAAAAGGAAATACATATGGAGTCGTTTCTATGGTTAGAGAAGAATTACAAAACAATGTAGATTTATTTGTGCCTGTTTTAAAAGGAAGTGTTCTGAATCCTAGAGTGACCCTTTAAAGAATAATAAGTATGACTGGGTGGTAGCTCACACCTGTAATCCCAGCACTTTGGGAGGCCAAGGTGGGTGGATCATGAGGTCAGGAGTTTAAGACCAGGCTGGCCAAGATGTTGAATCTCTACTAAAAATACAAAATTTAGCCAGGCGTGGTGGTGGGCGCCTGTAATCCCAGTTAGTTGGGAATCTGAGGCAGAGAATCACTTGAACCCAGGAGGCGGAGGTTGCAGTGAGCCGAGATTGCGCCACTGTACTCCAGCCTGGGTGACAGAGTGAGACTCCATCTCAAAAAAAAAAAAAAAAAGAATAATAAGTATATCTCAGCACTTTCGGAGGCCAAGGTGGGTGGATCACGAGGTCAGGAGTTTGAGACCAGCCTGGTTAGCATGGTAAAACCCCGTCTCTACTAAAAATACAAAAAATTAGCCGGGAATGGTGGTGCATGCCTGTAATCCCAGCTACTTGGGAGGCTGAGTCAGGAGAACCACTTGAACCCGGGAGGCAGAGGTTGCAGTGAGCCACGATTGCACCACTGCACTGCAGCCTGGGTGATAGAGCAAGACTCTGTCTCAAAAAAAAAAAGTGTATAGTAAAGTGACCCTGCTTACTTTATATTTTTGCCTATTATTTTAGGAAAAAATGGTAATCCTGTGGCAGAGAATTTCCGAATGGAAGAAGTCTGTTTACCAGATAATATCAATGAAGGACAAGTACAAGTTAGAACTCTTTATCTTTCTGTGGATCCTTACATGGTAAGAATCAGGATGTCGTAATTTGGTGTAAAATAACTTTATTTTATTGTTTTTCATGTTGTTGTATCTGAATTTTATTGTGCAGTCCCCTTATAGATTGGTAAATATTTGAGCAGTTATATATTGATACCTTTGAATTACAGATTGCCTTAATTTTTATTCACTAGTGAAATTAAGGAATGTTGTAGGGGGAATAGATAATAATAGTACATGTATGTGGTTCAGGTGTTTTCAAATGTTCACACTACCTTCCAATAGTAAATAAAGCTTGAAAATGGTAAAATAGGATTGCAAATTATCTCAGATCCACTTTACAAGAGAGGCTATATATGAGATCTTTTTTTTTTTTTTTTTTTTGAGACAGAGTCTTACTCTGTCACACAGGCTGGAGTACAGCAGCGCAATCTTGGCTCACTGCAACCTCCACCTCTTGGATTCAAGCGATTCTCCTGCCTTAGTCTCCCGAGTAGCTGGGACTACAGGCATATGCCACCATGCCTGGCTAAGTTTCATATTTTTTTTTGGTAGAGACGGGGTTTTACCATATTGGCCAGGCTGGTCTCGAACTCCTGACCTTGTGATTCACCTGCCTTGGCCTCCCTAAGTGCTGGGATTACAGGTGTGAGCCATCGCACGCCCAGCTAGAATCTTTATTTATTTCTAGCTGACCTTTTCTTTTTCTTTTTCTTTTTTTTTTTTAAGAGATGAGGTCTTTCTATGTTGCCCAAGCTGGTCTCAGTTTTGCTGGGCTCAGGCAATCCTCCCACCTTGGCCTCCTGCCACTGTGCTAACCCTGTAGTTGATCTCTTTTTGAAAGGAACAGACTCAGTTATGCCACCTCTAGATAAAGAAGATTTATTGAAGAGGTATATATTACCAGACTACAAATAAGAAGCCATTAGGCACAGGGACTTTGGCTCTTTGAGCTGACTTCTTGCTTTACTTCTGTCAGAGGTCATACAGTCTCTTCTTCACTTCTAACTTCATCCTATGGCCATGACAAGCACAGCTATATATGTCAGTTTACCCCCTGCTATTAAGAGTCTCGGCTGGGCATGGTGGCTCATGCCTATAATCTTAGCACTTTGGGAGGCCAAGGCAGGATTGCTTGAGCCCAGGAGTTCAAGACCAGCCTGGGCAACAGAGTGAGACCCTGTCTCTACAAAAAATTAAAAATTTAGACAGGTGTGGTGGCTTGTGCTTGTAGTCCTAGCTGCTTGAGAGGCTGAGGTGGGAGGATTGCTTGAGCCTGGGAGGTCGAGGTTCCATTGAGCCATGATTGCATCACTGCACTTCAGTTTGGATGACAGAGTGAGACCCTGTCTCAAAAAAAAAAAAAAGTCTCATTGATTGGAATCAGATTGCTGCAATAGGGAAATTGGCCCCATATGTCTGTTTTGATAAAAACCTATTTCATAGGTTGCTGAACAACCATATGAGTTTCCTCATACTGTTTTAACATATTACTATAAACTTAGTGGCTTTGTTTTTTTGAGACAGAGTCTCACTGTGTTGCCCAGGCTGAAGTGCAGTGGCATGATCTCAGCTCACTGCAATCTCCGCCTGCCAGGTTCAAGCGATTCTCCTGCCTCAGCCTCCCGGGTAGCTGGGATTGTAGGCATGCACCACCATGCCTGGCTAATTTTTTGTATTTTTAGTAGAGATGGGATCTCACCAGGTTATCCAGCCTCGTCTTGAACTCCTGACTTCAGGTGATCTGCCCACCTCAGCCTCCTAAAGTGCTGGGATTATAGACGTAAGCCACAGCCCCTGGCAGCTTAGTGACTTCAAACAAAAATTTATTTTTAGAGATCAGAGATCCAAAATTGGTCTTAACATGGCTAAAATGAAGATGTTGGCAGGGCTGCATTTCTTCTGGAGGCTCTAGGGACCATCCGTTTCCTTGCCTTGTCCGTCTTCTCAAGGCTGCCCGTATTCCTTGACTTGTAACTTTGCATTTCTCTTGTCTGTGCTTCAGTGGTTAGATCTCTGAACTCTAACTTTTCTTCCTCCCTCTTCCAAGGATCTTTGTGATTACATGGAGCCCACTGGGATAGTCCCGAATAATTTCTCGATCTCAAGATCATTAACTTAATTACATTTGCAAAGTCCCCTTTGCCATATAAGATAACATATTCACAAGTTTCAGGGATTAGGACATGAACATCTTTGTGAGACCATTATTTTGCCTACCACACCACCTATGGGGTGGCTGTCCAGGGGTCAGATGGCCCTCTGAATCTGTTCAGCTGTGGTTGGAGGGAGGGTTGGGCAAGGGCTACCCCTTGGTGGGAGAGTATTGGCCCTAAGAAGGTACAATTGGCGGGGTGTGGTGGCTCAGGCCCGTAATCCCAGCACTTTGGGAGGCTGAGGTGGGTAGGTCATGAGGTCGAGATCAAAACCATCCTGGCCAACATAGTGAAACCCCATCTGTACTAAAAATACAAAAACATTAGCTGGGCGTCGTGTCTCATGCCTGTAGTCCCAGTTACTTGGGAGGCTGAGGCAGGAGAATTGCTTGAACCCGAGAGGCAGAGGTTGCAGTGAGCCAAGATTACGTCGCTGCACTCCAGTGAGACAGAGTGAGACTCTGTCTAAAAAAAAAAAAAGGAGGTACAATTAGAGAGTGTCTCATCAAGTTACAAGGCACATGGCAGAGTTGGCCATCAGGCTTAGTTTCTCTAGTAGACATCTGAGTCACAAATCATAGGTTGTCAAAATACTCTTGGAAAATCACTTAAATTGTTCTTAAATCATCAGGATCTGGCCCCTTGTAAACTTAAAAATGCAGAATCATTCACTTGAGCCATATAATGTGATTTGCCAAAGCTGTCTTTCCCTGGTCTTCACTTGCCTTTCATAATGGACTGCTCCTCACCTTTTATCATTGAACTCCCAAATAAGGAAAGAAGTATGATATGGTTTGGCTCTGTGTCCCCACCCAAATCTCATCTCAAATTGTAATCCCCACACGTTGAGGGAGGGACCTGGTGGGAGGTAAGTGGGTCATGGGGGCTGTTTCCCCGATGCTGTTCTCGTTATAGTGAATTCTCACGAAATTTGGTTGTTTGATAAGTGTCTGGTGCTTCCCTCTTTCTCTGTCTCTCCTGCTGCCATGTAAGCCATGTCTTACTTCGCTTTTACCTTCTGTCATGATTGTAAATTTCCTGAGGCCTCCGCAGCCATGTGGAACTTGAGTCAGTTAAACCTCTTTTCTTCATAAATTACCCAGTCTCAGGTAACATCTTTATAGCAGTGTCAGATTGGACTAATACAAACTATGATGTAGTTTTTTGTTCTTTTCCATTTGCTCTTCAGCTAATCTAAAACCTCATTTTCTAATATTTTACTTTTAATATCTCTTGAACCCTTCGTGGAGTTTCATTCTTGTTGCCCAGGCTGGAGTGCAATGGCGCGATCTCGGCTCACTGCAACCTCCACCTCCAGGGTTCAAGCAATTCTGACCCAGCCTCCCCAGTAGCTGGGATTACAGGCATGTGCCACTACACCCAGCTAATTTTGTATTTTTAGTAGAGATGGGGTTTCTCCGTGTTGGCCAGGCTGGTCTTGAACTCCTGACCTCAGGTAATCTGCCCGCCTTGGCCTCCCAGAGTGCTGGGATTACAGACGTGAGCCACCGCACCCAGCCTTTTTTTCATTATTTAGAGGCTAATTATCTTCTTTTCATTATTGAAGGCATTTTTTAAAAAATGAACAACTTTATTATTTTTATTAACATTATAAATAGTCGAAACAGAGGTGTATAAAGTAGGAAGTGAAGAGTACCTGTACAAAGGATCACTTATTGATCTGTCTAGGTAACAGCAATGTACCAATGTTAATTTCCTGGTTTTGATATTATACTGCAGATATTTAAGATGTCACTACTGGGGGAAGCTGAGTGAAAGACTTTGTACTTCATTTTATTAATTTTTAACTTTTTTGAAATGAGGTGTCTGTTGCCAAGGCTGACTGCAGTCGTGCCAATACAGCTCACTGCAGCCTTGACCTTCTGGGCTCAAGCAATCCTTCCACCTCAGTCTCCCAAGTAGGAGGGACCACAGGTATGTACCACCATGCCTGGCTAATTTTTTAAATTTATTTTTTTTAGAGATGGGGTCTTGCTATGTTGCCCAGATTGGTCTTGAACTCCTGGACTCAAACAGTGCTCCTGTCTTGGGCTCCCAAAGTGCTGAGATTTCAGGTGTGAGCCACTGCGTTGCTTTCCCTGTACTTAAAAACATTTAACAGTTTTAAGAATTACTGGCCAGACGTGGTGGCTCACGCCTGTAATCCCAGCACTTTGGGAGGCTGAGGCAGGCAGATCACAAGGTCAGGAAATCAAGACCATCCTGGCCAACATGGTGAAACTCTGTTTCTACTAAAAATAAAAAATTAGCCGGGTGTGGCGGTGCCTGCTTGTAGTCCCAGTTACTTGGGAGGATGAGGCAGAATTGCTTGATCCCAGGAGGCGGAGGCTGCAGTGAACCAAGATTGCACCACTGCACTCCAGCCTGGGTGACAGAGCCAGACTCCATCGCAAAAAAAAAAAAAAAAAAAAAAAAGTATCCACACACTATACAATTTACTCAGAGAGTACAATTAAATTGTTTTTAGTATATTCGCGGAATTCTGCAACTGTCATCACAATCAGTTTTACAACATTTTCCTCATCCCCAGAAGAAACCCTGAACCTATGGTATAATTAGCAGTCATTCCCCATTTTCCCTCCTCACCCCACCCTCAGCTGTATACAACTACTAATCTACTTTTTGTTCCTATAGATTTGCCTATTCTGGCCATTTTGTATAAATTTTATTACTGAATCATGTTACATAGTATCGATACGGTAGTCAGATGATGGACATATGGGTTGTTTACACAATTTGGCTATTAGCAATACTTCCACTACGAACATTTGTGTATACGTTTTTGTGTGGACTGTGTTTTTGTTTCTCTTGGGTATGTATCTAGGAGTTAAAATTACTATGTTATACAGT